TGTGTGTGCACAGGCAATAGTGTTGACTCGGTGTGGTCAAAGCCGGGAAGGGGACTCCCCCCACCATCCCAAGGCTTGGAAGGCCCCAGCTGTGGGATCTCAGCCAGCCCGCTCACCCCTCCCGTCTCTCTCCAACCTTGCCTCTGGCAGGATCTTGAACTGATGTTGGAATTAAAGGCCACATCTGTTCCTGATTGGGTTTGGAATGGAGTTTGGGTGTCCTGGGAGCAAGCTGGGGGGACAAGAATAGGGTTGAGCTGCAGGGAGGAAGTCTTCAGGTGGGAGTGGGATGGAGAGGAGGGCTGGCACTCAGCGCTGACATTCACAGTCCAGGCCATCCTGCCACCCGACTCCAGATCACTGGCTTCAAACCACAGTGATGGATGAAGCCTTTCCCGTCCATGGTAGGATCAGGAGGGAAATATGGAGGGAGACCCCGCTGTTTGCAGCAGCCAGGAATAGGGAAGATCAGCATGAGAATGTAAGCATGCTGGAAGCTACCGTCTCTGCCGCAAAGGTCCCTGGATGAGATCTGTGATCAGTCAGGAATCGAGCTCCTTCAGAGAAGGACAGGGGACCTCAGAAGAGATGAGTGGGGCTCAGTGGGTGGGGTGGGAGTGAGGCAAATAGTGGGAAGGTGACCATAGTTGTGGAGGCAAAATTCCACGTATACGATCTGATAAATGAAATTGAGATGATTTCCCCCCAGAAAATCTGAGGCATGATATTGCTTCTCTTTAGGTAGGTTCAAGGCCAGGGGCTCTAGGGTGCAGTGGTGGGCTGAGCTTGGATTTCAAGGCCGTGCCTGGGTGACACAGGGATCTTTAAGGAAGAGGTCCCTGGGGGTCAGGTGCCGAGGCTGGAGGGCTTGGTCCCACTGACCTCCCCCTCAAGGGTCCTCTTTCCTCTCTCACGTGGGCTTTTCTCTCAGGTTTCAGAGGAGTCGGGCAGGTGACTCAGATGTTCCCTCAGGGTTTGACCACAGAGACTTGGGAGGAATTTCCGCTCAGGAGAAAGTCTGCTGCCTGCCCTGCCCTCTCCATCCGCCCTCCCCGGGAGCACCCTCCCCGGGGCCTCCACCTGCATCACGCTCTCCTTCAGAGACACCTGCTGCGTAGTATCCAGTCCCTGCTGCCTCTCCAGACTTGCCAGCTGGGGGTGGGGTGGAATGGGGAGCAGTGCAGGGCCCCCCAGGCTGCAGTGGGACTGCAGCAGTGACAGGCACTACACCCTGAGTCCAGTTCTGTTCTTGTACTTGGACAACGTCTGAGTGTCTCCTGGGATACAGGCGGCTCTCCCTGGCCCCTACTCCCTCCTTGACAGTCGCCTGAGCCTGAACTTCCCTCCCCGTTTGACAACCTCCACCCCAGTGCGGGCTTTAGACCTTTGCGGGGCGCCTTCCCCATTCCTGATTCTCAGTCCTTCATGCTGAGAGTCTCCGATGAGTCTTTCCCATGAAGATCACTGAGGCTTTGAAGAAATCATTAATTTTTTCTTTTTTGAGACAAAGTTGCCTTCTTGTTGCCCATGCTGGAGTGCAGTGGTCCGATCTCGGCTCACTACAACCTCCGCCTCCCAGGTTCAAGCGATTCTCCTGCTGCAGCCCCCCAAGTAGCTGGGATTACGGGCATGTGTCACCATGCCAGGCTCATTTTTGTATTTTTAGTAGAGACGGGGTTTCACCATGTTAGTCAGGGTAGTCTCGAACTCCTGACCACAGGTCATCCATCTACCTCAGGCTCCCAAAGTGCTGGGATTACAGGAGTGAGCCACTGCATCCAGCCAGAATCATTAATTTAAAAGCCCTTTAAAAACCCCTGGGTTCACATTAACTCATGATCTTGACCATATCCTTGGCAGAAAATATCATCTCCCACTGATCCCCATCTTAAGGGGTATCTTCTCTGCTCCTGGAGTGGGTGTCAGGATGGGTGGGAGGGTCCCAATGTGGAGAGCGGCCTAGGACATGGAGAGACGACACCCTGTGTTTGGGCCACACCTCTGAGGTTTTCTTTCCAGGACAGCCTGGTTTCCCCTCTTCGGCCTATTGTTCCACCAGATTTCAGACTGTGAGTTCTGATTTTTAGTCAGAAGAATAAAGTTTCTGGGACTGGAGATGTATCTGCCATGGGAATTCAGTGTGTCCCCAGCTGTGAGATTGACAGAAGGGGTTTCTCCCCAGCCCCATCCCGGGAGGCTCTGCTTTGGGCCTCCTCAAGTCCCCAACCCCTTCCCATTGGCCCTTTCCCTCCCCTGGCTTCCTGCGGACAGAGAGCAGAGGAATAAAGGCAGAAGGCAGTGTGAGGGCCGCTGTGTCTGCTGCCTGGATTCTCTGGGCTCACTCCCATGGTGGTAAGTTCTTCCTTCCTATGTCCCTGGTCATCTGCTATCTGGTTGGTCATGCTTGATGGTGAGGCCTGGTGTTACCAGTGGACATGTGCTCAGGGAAGAGAGGGCAGAGCCTTTGGAATTTCTAGAGAAATGGCTCTGGGGTGGAGGTGGGGGTCCGGGCCAGCCAGGATGCCCCTGCAGGTGCACAGAGGCCCTCGCCTTCAACTGTGGTCCCAGCTGAGTCTCCTTGAGGTGGGAGAGGCTGAGGTTTTGGGTGGTGGGAGAGGAACGATGGGTCCGGTTCAAGAATGGAGGGGAGGGCTTTGGGCTGGAGGTGAGGACTCTCCGCAGGAGTAACCTGCAGCCCTCAAGTTCCGTGGGTGTTGCCTCCTTCCTCCCTAGGGGGAAGTGGTTTTGGAGTCTGAGTCACTTGAGCTCCATCTGTCTCTTCCCTTATTTGGGGGTGACTGTGCCATTGGAATCCAGGCCCTCATTCAAGCGCAGCCTCTGGATCCAGGTTTTGGAATGACCCTGTAGATTTCAGCAGGCCCCCTGCCCTCTCCGCCGACGGACCTGTCTGTGTGTGCGTTGCTCTAGCCAGAGCTTGGAGACCGGCTGGGCCATCTCAGCCACCTCTCTACCGCTCCTTGTTGAGACCTCATCCCCCGGTTCCAGCCCAGTCCTCTGTCAGCTCTGGACTCGCTCTTTGCTCTGTTCCCCACTTTAATAATGGGACAGTCCTCGATATCAGGAGATTCAGGCACTGGGGCAAAGGCTGGTGACTAAGGTGGGAGCTGCTCCTGGAAAACCTGTCCCCAAACTGCAAGGGGCAGAGAGAAAATCCTGACCCTTGAGCTGCTCCGCCATCTGCCACCAGGCCTTTTAAGGAGGTCGTCTTGTCACCTTCCTGCCCCAAGCCCCTGTTTCAACAACTCCCAGGCAGGAGAGTCTGCGGTCTCCCTTGGAGCCTGGCTGTTCTCCTCGCACCAGCTGCTCCAGCGTTTGCTGTGGGCCTCACTGTAACCTGGCTGATACAGACAGGTGCTCTTGTTGCTGGATTTCAGTCTCATCCTGGGTTCCAGTCTCTGATTCTTTGAGGGAGAGGCCTTAGAGGTAGGCTAGTGCTGGTAGTGGTCAGAGCAGGTCTGACTCCCTGAGGAATGAGATCTTCCCTTCTCCCTCTGCAGAGCTGCACACCGTGATGGAGACCCCTCTGGAGAAGGCCCTGACCACTATGGTAACCGTATTTCACAAATACTCAGGGAGAGAGGGTAGCAAGCTGACTCTGAGTAGGAAGGAACTCAAGGAGCTGATCAAGCAAGAGCTGTGTCTTGGGGAGGTAGGTGATCGGTCCCTTATCCTCCACCCCAAAGTCCAAGTGCTCCCTCTGGGGGACACATACCTGCCTTCAGGTACCCCAGCTTAAGCCAGGGGCAGGGTGGCCAAGGGCTACAGGCAGAGACGAAGACGGAGGGCATTTTGGGCCAGCAAAACTCTAGCCCTCTGTGCAGGAGGATGGGTCAGGGGCTCACTGACAAGGAGGAAGGGCTGAGTCTGGAGCGTTTAGAGGAGATTGAGGAGCCTTCCAGGGTGGGGCCACGTTCTTGCAGCAGTGGCAGTGCCTGGGCTAGGGGCCATGGGCAGTGAAGGGATGTAGGGCGTCCAGGTCCAGCTGTGCACGACTCAAGAGTAGGGGACCCTGCCCGATTCTTCTCTGTGTGCACGGCAGGGCCAGAGCTCTCTGGTAGTGCTGGCACTCACACTGAAAGGTTAATTTGTAAACGTAGGGTGTTGAGGGGACAGAACTGGTTCTCATCAGATGGAGATGGCGGGAAGGAGGTGGCCGACAGAGGGGAAGGCCCATGAGGTGGTTATAATACAATATCCCTGAGGATAAATAGTTTTGAGACGGTCTCACTCTGTCCCCTAGGTTAGAGTGCAGTGGTGTGGTCATGGCTCACTGCAGCCTCGAACTTTCAGGCTCCAGCAATCCTCCCACCTCAGCCTCCTGAGAAGCTGGGACTCCAGGCTAGCGCCACCACACTCAGATAATTTTTAATTTTTTTGTAGAGATGGGGTCTTGCTATGTTAGCCAGGCTGTTCTGGAACTCCTGGCCTCAAATGATCCTATCACCTCGGCCTCCCAAAGTGCTGAAATTACAGGCTTGAATCACTGTGCTTAGTCTTATTATTTTTACAGTTAAAAAAATCGGTGCTCAAATATATCAAATAACTTGTCTAACGACACGCTGCTGTTGGGAGGCTGAGCTGGTGTTCTGGGCCAGCCCTGTGAACCATTCTCCCTGTTTGCTTTACAGTTTAGCCTGGGGGCCTCTCCATCTAGCACACCTTGAGCCCTGC